CCATGGGTCGGAGGGCTGCACGATACACACCTTACATGCTTCTTATTATCTCCACAAGCCTCCCATACACCCGTTTGAACCTTTCCACGCTCCTCTCATCTACCCAGGTCTCTTCCCCGCTCCCTCTTACCCTTCCCCCTCCCACGCCTTCTCGCCTCTCTTACCCCTCCACCGCCTTCCCTCCTCCTCCCGCCCCCCTCTCCTCCCCCCCAGTGTGCCGCCATGCCCCACCTCACTCGCTTCGAGGCACTGCACTACAGCCGCCCCCGCCTCGCACTGCCCGGGGCCCCCGCGCCCCTGGACACCGCGCTACCTGCACTGGGGCAGACGGGGCGGCTGCGGGCGTTACGGCTGCTGCCGGGGCGGCAAACGAGCTTGGGACTGGGGTTGATGGGACTGATGGGGGGTGGAGGGCTCATGGGGGGCGGAGGGCTGGGAGGAGGAGGAGCGGGAGGTGTAGGAGGAGGAGTGGGAGAAGGTGGGGGAGCAGCAGCAGGAGGAGGAGGAGCAGCAGGGGCGGCAGGCGGAGCAGCAGGGGGAGGCGGCGGAGGAGGTATGGATGGAGCGGTGGTGGGGTTGCTGGCGGTGCTGCCGCTGGTGGTGCCCAGGAGCTTGAGGGCGCTGGGAGGTGAGGGGGGGCCGGGGGGAGGGGGGAGGAGGGAGGAGGGAGGAGGGAGGAGGGAGGAGACGGGAGGAGGGAGGAGGCGGGTAGGGGGGTAGGAAGGAACAACACCTTGTGAAGGGTGGGTCCTTAGCGTAATAAGAGGAACATGCACTACCCTCCCTTTTGTTCACTCCCCACTGACCCATGGGTCCCTCTGAACCCCTCCCCACCCAACCCCTCCCATCCACAGGCTCCCTGGCCTCCCTGGACCTCAGCTTCTCCGGGCAGCTGGAACTGACCCGTGGGTCTCTCTCCGCCCTCACCGCCCTCACCTCCCTCAACCTCCGCGGCTGTCAGCTGGTGAGGGACGTGGCCGCCCCCCTACCGCCGCAGCCCCAACCACCCCAACCACCCCAACCACCCCAACCACCTGCTGCTGCTGCTGCTGCGGCGGCGGCGGCTCAACCGCAACCGCAACAACCACCTCAGCAGCAACCACCTGCCGTACAGCCCCAGCCCCAGCCTCCCGTGGCACCCCCCCCGGGTATAGCGGCGGTGGCTGCGGGGCTGCTGCAGCAGCTGGGGCTACCCGGGCTGGGGGAGGGGGAGGGGGAGGGCGCTGCAGGAGGCGGCGGAGATGCAGCAGCAGCAGCAGGAGGGGAAGGAGGTGGTGGCGAGGAGGCGGGAGGGGGTGCCTGGTGGCCTGCGGAGCTGCGGTCGCTGACGGCGCTGAGGCGGCTGGATATGGCGGGTGAGGGGGGGAGGTGTGAGGGGGGGGGGTGGAGGTGGGGAGGAAAGGAGGCTGCATGCATACACATGCATGCATGCATGAAGGAGTTGCATGAGTGACAAGGTAGTGGTGGAGGAGGAAGAGGGTGAGGGGGCGGAGAGGGGCGGGAGGTCGAGTTAAGGAAGGGATGGTGGTGCGCGGGTCGCGATCTTGCAAACACTGAGAGGAGGGGTTTCCGGGGCCACCATGGCCCTTACATGAAGCATGAAAATGAGTCCCGTATGCTCAGCTGCTCCTCCCTAAACCCTAAAACCCTAAAACTCTTCCTCCCCTCCCCCCTTCCTATCCCTAAAATCCCCCCAAGGCGGATTACGTCTCCAAATTAATCCCCCCTTCCTCCCCTCCCCCCCCCCAGGCTGCCAAGTGGGCCCACTGCTGCCCCCCGACTGCCTGCTGCCGTATTCCGCCCACCTGTCGTACCTGGACCTGTCGCACAACGGGTTGGAGGAGCTGCCGGGCAGCATGCAGGTGGGGGTGGGGTGGGGGGATGGGGGGGTGAATTTGGTTCGACACCAGTTACTGCACATGCAGTCTGACCTCCCGCTGACTTACCAGTACACACACCTCCCCTCCCTCCCTCCCCTCCCTCACCCTCCCCCACGACACAAATACACACACGTAGGCGCTGTCAGAGTTGGCCGTACTGCGTTTGTCGTACAACCGCCTCACTCGCCTGCCACGGGGGCTGCTGACGATGGCGATGGCGGGGGGCACCACGGCCTCGACCTCCGCAGCACCGCCGTCGCTAGGGCCGGCAGCAGCACCAGTGACAACAACAGCTGCACCAGCAGCAGCAGCCACATCGGCCCCCGCAGGTCAAGGAGGCAGCAGCAGTAGCGGCGGCGGCGGCGGCGGCGGTGGGGGGGGCGCCGGAGAACGGTCCGACCAGCCGTCCACTTCCACAGCGCCTCATGGTCGCCGTCACCCGCTGCTGGTGTTGGATTTGGCGTTCAATTGTTTGAGGGAGCTGGACCCATGGGTCAGGTGAGGGGCGGGCGGGCGGGGAGGGGCGTGCGAGGTGGCGGTGTGTAGCTCTGGTGCACGGTTCTCTGTGTGTGTGTGTATGGTGTACGACAGGTCAAACAGAGCAGAAGATGCCGTACCGCTTCTTTTAAGTTCGCCCGTGCTTACAAGACCTACAAGACCCTGTCCTCTATCCAAAACACACACCCCTCCCCCTCTCCCCCACAACCCCCCAGCCGCCTGGCCTCACTCCGCTTGCTGGACCTGTCGTACAACCCGCTGGCCTCCCTGCCGTACAGCCTCTCCTGCCTCTCCCACCTGCGCTCCCTGGCACTGCGGGGCTGCCTGCTGAGGGCCTTCCCGCAACCCGTACTGCAGGTGGGGGGTCAAAGACCATATCAAACCATAGGAGACCACAAGTTAGGGCAAAGCAATGGGGATAGGAGTTGGCAGGGCGCCACAAGACAAAGTGTTGGTTAGTATTCCCTACCGATACCGGGTCCGCGGTGTGTGGGGGGGGGGAGGAGAGGGGGAGCCACTTTGGCTCGTTTTCTGTACCTCCTCCTTCGCATCCTTTCTTCACCCCTGCTCTTGCCCCTGCAACCGTAACCTCTATCGCAATGTAACCCCATGGTTGTACCCCCCACCCTCCCCCCCACCCTCCCTCAGCTCCCCCGGCTGACCTACCTCGATGTGAGTGCGCAGCTGACCCTGCGACACGAGCCCGGGCGGGGGGTGGGGCTTGTGGGGAGGGAGCCGCGGCAGGGAGGGGGGGCAGGAGCAGCGGGGGGCGGAGGAGCAGGAGGAGCAGGAGGAGGATGGACGGGGGCAGCGGGAGGTGGGGTGAACTGTCTGGGGGATGTCTCCCTCACTTGGTCGCCCTGGGATGCGGAGGGGGAGGGCAGGGAGGGCGGCGGCGGCAGGGGGGGCAGGGGGGGCAGCAGGGAGACCGTTTGGGGTGAGGGAAGTGGCGGCAGGCAGGAGGAGGGGGGAGAGGAGGGAGGGGAGGAGGGGGGAGAGGAAGGCGAGGAGGAGGAGGGGGGTTATGGGGGTGATGATGATGGTGAGGCGGGGGAGTACACGGGGGCTGCGGGATACACCGCGGCACTGCGGGGGGTGCTGGGGGTGGGGGGAAGAGGAGGAGGGGGAGGAGGGGGAGGAGGGGGAGAGAGTGGTACGGCAGCCGGTTCCTCTGCCACCGGTCGGCCCTCTTCTGCTGCTCTTCAGCGGGAGGGAGCAGGAGCAATAGCAGGCGGCGGCGGAGGAGGGGGTGCTGCGGGCGGCGGCAGTAGCAGCGGTGGCGGCGGCGGCATATGGGAGGCGCTGTGGGGCCGGCGGAGGAGGCAAGCCGCTGCCACCACCCCCACCCCCACCACCCCCACCCCCACCACCCCCACCCCTCCACCCACGACACAAACCCAGCCCACCACCACCGCCGCCGGCCCCTCCTCCGCCCGCCGGCCCCCCGCCTTCTCTCTCCCTCCCGCCCGCCCCCCTCCCAGCAGCGGCCCCTGCGTGCTGCCCCCCTCCCTGGCGCACCTGCCCTGCCTGCGGGTGGTGGTGGCGGACTTGCAGCGGGACAGTTTGGCGGCGGCGGAGGCGCTGAGGAGGGCGGGGGTGGAGGTAAGGCTGTTCTGAGGGTGGGGGTGTGTTTTATGATTTAGGGTGGGTCACAATTGACCAAACCGTAGGAAACCATGAATGAGCCGCGTAATTGTACTGACATGAGCTCTGTTGGCCGAGGAGGGAGGTGCATTGGGTGTGTGGGGGATTGGGAAGTCAGCTGCGGTGTGTGTTAGGTTGATGTGGAATTGAGGGCTTGATGATGCGGAATTGAGGCTTGGTGGTGCGGAAAAGGTTGGCGGAGGTTGGCGTAGATTGGAGAGGTGGAGAGGTTGTGCAGGGAGTTGGTACGAGGTTGGCAAAAGAGGTTCAAACCTTCGGATTAGCGGAGACCAAGAGGGCAGGGGAGGAGACGCCGGACGGCATGTTAGATGCGCGTGTTTGACACGTCAATCGTAGGCCTACCTCAGCCAAGCATCTTCGATGTTGTGTTCCTTGCTGCTTCGTACAGTTACTTAAATGCATTACTGCGCCATCGGTTGTAGTCGCTCGGTGTAGAGCTCGGGAAGGGAAACGTACAACAGCCCATGCGGCGCCTTTATGATGTCCTACTTTCATGCTTGCTTACGAACACCATGAGCACTAGCATACTTCCTTCAGCCTGTACCCTGGCTTTTCATGCGGTGTGCTGCGCTCTCGTTATATAATGGGCTGTGCTGCGCGTGCTGAGGCCCAGGCCGAGGCATTTGGATCCTTTCCGGAAAAAATGGTTCCTGTGAGTAAAGGTATAGTAAGCGGCTAAGGAAGACTTCAACCGGCTAAAGGAGCGGCAATGGTTCTTCGTGCGCGTGCCTGCCTGCTGCTGCAATCCTTGCAGCCTGCGACAGACGCAAAGCAGCCGCTACGAACTCACCAGACAGAGGAATCAGAGCTGGGTTGAGGTGTGTTTCATATATGATTTGGGTCGGAGCTTGGAGGGCATCAGCAGTCCCCTAAATCTGCATACTTTCCGCCGTACAACGCAAAGCCCGCGCTCTGTTGCTTTCGCGACTCCACGTTGCTTGCTGCGCTTACCCTCTTTCACACCCAGATCCGCAGGTTCAGTCACAACCTGCCTTTGCGACCAGCCAAGTAACTTAAACAAACCCTCCCAAACATAGACACAGATCAATTTAACACGTTCAATTTGCACTGTTTGGTTTGTACTGTTTGGTTTGCACTGTTTGGTTTGTTTACACTGTGCTTCCTCCCAAACGCGCCTGCTCTCCCACCTTTAACCTCTCCATAACGGCCTTGCTAACCTGTTCCTAGTTCGCACAAACTACAACAGCTTAAATACAGCAGTAAACTACGCAAGCACAGCTACTCAGCTAGCCATGTCGGAAGGGACCACCGGCACCACCGTTCGCGCGCGCTTCCGACCTCGCAGCTCCAAAGAGTCCGGCGAGCGGTGTGTGGAGTACGTGAGCGACAACACCATCAGCTTCACGGGGCCGGATGGCGCTCGGCACACCTTCAACTTTGATAAGATATACCGTAAGTTGCCGCCGCGTTCGTCGGGATGTCGGTGCGAAACACGTTTCGCAGAAGCAGCTGCAGCTTTAGGAATTGCACAGTAGTATATGGTCGCTGCAATGCCCCTGTGGCCTTGTGAATCGGGCATGGGGGCACAGCAAAGGGCGATGTGCACGCGCAATTGTCTTCGTACAAGACGGGGCTGCCATTTCTCCGCCACCCCGATGCCTGCGCTTTTCCAAACCAGCATTCGTTCCGCCGCCTACTGCGCCCGACCCAGATGCGTACGACCCATTAAACGCACTACCGACCCGTGGGTCGTCACCCATACACCCCCACCAAAGTCTCTCCTCCTGCCCTTCCCTCCCTCGCCTCTCCGTTTCACTGCTTCTCGATGCAGCCGAGGGCATCAGCCCGGCTTTCCCATCCCCAACTCACCCCTCCCTTGCTCCCCCTCCCCCTCCCCCTCCTCTCCCCCCCGGGCAGCCGAGGGCACCAGCCAGGGTGCGGTGTTCTCCGACCTCACCTTCGTGGTGGAGGCGGCGCTGGCGGGGTACAACGGCACAATCATGGGTAGGCCACTAGAGGGGGGGAACAAAGACCATACCACACCGTAGGAAACCACACGTTAGGGCTCTCCGGCAGTGTGTGGATACCGGTAGGAGGAGGCGGCAGGTTGGTTGGATACATCCCGTGCAAACCATTTCCCGCACATGTCCCCTCTCCCTTCTCCCCCCCACCCCTCTTTCCTCCCTAACCTGTGGTTCTGGTATATCTTTCACCCCTCCCCCCTCCCCCCCACCCCTCCCCCCTCCCTCCCACCCCTCCCCCCCCCACCAGCGTACGGCCAGACGGGCAGTGGTAAAACCCACACGCTGCTGGGCTACGTGGCTGAGCCGGAGCAGCTGGGGGTGGTGCCGCGGGCGGTGGGGCACCTGGCAGAGGGAATTGGGCGGGCGGCGGAGCGGGAGGGCGCGGAGTTCGAGGTGAGGGGGGGGAGAGGGGGGGTGGCAACGGGACGCAGGGAGGAGCGTACTGGGAGGAGTGTGTAGGTGTGTGGGTGTGTGTGTGTGCAAAAACTGAGAGTATGTTTGTGATGTACCACCCCCCCCCCCAGGTCACGGACCGCTAACCCATACTTGTTTTTTGTGGCACCCTGCCGCCCTCTCCTATCCCCATTATCTTGCCCCAACCTGTGGCTTCCTATGGTTCGGTGTATGGTCTTTGACCCCCCAGGTCACGCTGAGTGTGGTTGAGATCTACTGCGAGCGCATCAACGACCTGCTCTACCCCTTCCCGGGCACGGGGGCGGGGGAGAACCTGGCGGTCAAGACGCATGCGGAGCGGGGGATGTACATCGAGGGTGGGAGGGGGTGAGGGAGGGAGGAGGGGAGGATGTGGGGGTGTTGGTTAGGGTTGCCCTCTACAGGAGGCGGATGCATGGGGCCTGCAGAACCCCATCCGTTATCGTCCTGCTCCGAAACCCCAACCAAACCCCGGGGGGTAGCTGCCCCTTGACCTTCCCCTTCGTTACCCCGCGCCTGCCCTCACCGGAAGTATCGCTGCACGGCCCCTGCTTACCCTACACCCAACATTGGGAAGCTCCCCTCCCCCCGCATACGCCCAACCGCCTCCCCATACACCCATACACACCCACACACGCTCAAATACCCAGCCACACACCCACACTCCCCCCTCATATGCCCCCCACCCTCCCCCCCCCGTCCCTCCCAGGCGCCACCGAGCTGGTGGTGCGGGACGAGCAGCAGATGGTGGATGTCATGACGCGGGGGCTGGCGGCGAGGTCTGTGGCGGGTGGGTGATGGGGGAAAATATATATATGATGTGGGTGAGGGGGGAAAAATATATATATGATGTGGGTGAGGGGGGAGGGGGGTGGAGGGTAGAATAAACCAAACCACAATGTTAGGGCAAAAGCAATGGGTATTGTTGGCAGGTGGAGGTGCGGGGGAAGAGGGTTTATTGTGCGCGTGCATCTGTCGACGTGCAAGGTTTGTATAGAACTCCAGAAACCCGCCTTTACCCCGCTCGCTACCTCCCTCCCCCCCCTCAGCCACCAGTATGAACGAGACCAGCAGTCGCAGCCACTGCATCGTGACAGTGCGGGTGGACAAGACAAGCAGGGACGGGTCGGGGCAGGTGGGGGCGGGGGCAAAGGGGGGAAGCTGACCGTGCGGCCAAGGGGACGCTGTGGGCGCGGTGCTAGTCCCTAGATGACCCATGGGTCGGTCGCATGAGGCACTCGGCATGAGGCATGAGACATGAGGCATTCGGGTCGTGCAAGGCATGCTGGGGGGTGCTGCTGCCGCTAAAACACCGACCCAACACACCTCACCAGACCTGATGAGGCTGCCCTACCCCGCCCCATTCGGTTTTGTTTCCCTCTTGAACCCCCCTCCCCTCCTCTCTCCCCCCCCTCCCCGCCTCCTTCCCTCCCCCCTCCTCCTTCCCCCTCCCCCTCCCCCCCCAGACCGGCAAGCTGGTTATGGTGGACCTTGCGGGCAGCGAGCGGGCGGTGCGCACCGGGGCGGCGGGGGCGACACTGGTGGAGGGCAGCCTCATCAACAAGAGCCTGAGTGAGGGGGGGGAGGGGGAGGGGGGCCCATGCGGGGAGAGTGAAGGGGGGCCGGGGAGAGGGAAGGGGTGATGCTGGGGGACCCAGAAAGGGCACGCAACCCCACATGCACGTCCCGCCATTCTTACCTCCCCCCCGCCCCGCTCCCCCCCCCCAGGCTGCCTGTCCAACGTCATCACCGCGCTCACCGAGGACACCCGCGGCCGCCCCCGCCACGTGCCGTACCGCGACAGCAAGCTGACACGCGTACTGCAGGACTCGCTGGTGGGAGGGGGGAGGGGGGGAGAGTTAAAGGCTGCAGGGAAGGGTGGCGACAGGGAAGGGGAGCTGCCCTTATACCTGTCTGACCTCCCCGCTGCCCCCCCCCTTCCCTCTCATGCCCCCCCCCCCCAGGGCGGCACCAGTCGCACGGTGCTCATCATCTGCTGCTCCCCGGTGCGGGAGAACGCGGCGGAGACCATGTCGTCGCTGCGGTTCGGGTCGCGGTGGGTGACGGGGTGTTGGGTTGGGTTGGGAGACAGCAGCCTTGAGGGAAGAGGGAGGGGGTGCGAGGGAGGGGCGCGCGCGAGAGAGGGAGGTGGTGCGAGGGAGCGCAGGTTGCGATAGCGAGGCACTGCACTGCCGGCTGTGGCGCGGGACGCGGGGAACGATTCCTGTGTATGTGTGCTAGCGGGCTGGCCCACTCACCGGAACTCACCCCTCCCCTCTCCTCCCCTTCCCCCCACCTCCACCCCCCCGCCAGCGCCAAGGGCGTTCAAAACACCGTGTCCGTCAACACGCGCCACAGCCCCGAGCAGCTGCAGCGCCTGCTGGATCAGGCCAAGACGCGGCTGGCGCAAATGGGCGCAGAGCTGGCGGCGGCGCGGGCGGCACTGGCGGCGGCAGGGCTGGAGCTGCCGGCACCGCCGGCGGCGGCGGCAGCGGCGGCGGCAGCGGGAGTGACGGGAGAGACGTCAGCGGTGCTGCCGCCAGCGTTACCGCAGCAGCAGCAGCAAGCGGTGGTGGGGGCGGGGCCGGTGCCGGCGTCGGCAGAGGGTGGAGTTGTGGCAGGGGTTGGGGGAGCGACGGGGATGGTGTACGGCAGTGGTGGTGGTTTGTACGAGGGGAGAGGGTACGGGGAGAAGGGTCCGGTGGCGGGGCTGGTTGCTACGCTGCGGGATGCTGGGGAGGCGCTGCGGCTGCTGCTGGCCGTGGGGACGGTGGGGGCGGGCATGGAAAAGGGGGGCGGGAAGGTGGGGGTAAAGGGAGCAGGCAGCGGCCGCAGCGGGCCTAGCACCCGCCAGGCGCTAGCGCTGGTTGACGTTTGTGCGGTGGCGGCGATCATGCTGGGGCTGGTGGTGTGTGCAGCGGTTGAAAGGGGCTGAACGTCTTGGCGGAAGGCTGGGAACGGCGGGCGATGTGATGAAGGGGCTGAGGAGGGCTGGAACTAGCGCGCTACCTGAGAAGGGGCTTGGGCCGGCGTGCGGAAGAAACAGTTATGATGGGCGTTTACCTTCTATGAAGGCTTGGGCATGAGAAAAGTGCCGGTACGGCACTAACCGTTTTCCGGCGAAGTAACTGCATGTAAGCTTAGTTGCACGTTGTAAGCATAGGACATATACCTTCTACGCTGTGTTTACTCTGGCTGCCGTTGTCTCGAATCCGGCCTTAGGTTGCTAAGCTAGGTAATCGTTGAGCTTTCCGCGTATATCATCTCTGACCCAGATTGCATATAGTTAGGGTATATCATGATGTTTTGTTAGGCTTGCTTAGTCCTCTTCGGCCTGCGCGAAGGTTTCCAAGTTTCCAACTGCTAAGGCAGCGCATTCTGGGCTTTGTGAAGGCAGGAGCGTAGCAAAGGAGCACAGCATGCTAAAAATATTTAAAAAGCCGGATGTGAAAGGTCGGTGGCCTTGAGGAATTCGTCGCTAAAGCGGGGCAGCTTCCTGCATCACCCATTGCTTCTGAGGAATTGCGGTTATCCTGCTTACACCGCGTTACTTGCATTTGACCTGCTTCAGAGCAAGTACGGGAGTCGCAAAGGGAGTTGCGAAAGGGCACACGAGGTGGGTTCTGGCAAGTCCTTGCATTACGGTGCACGATGTATCGCCGAGCCATACTTTTCCGACGGACGTGCCCCAACGAATACCTTTATAAGCCCCTCAATTGAACCCGGCAGTTCTTCCCCGCACAGTCTTCCGCCCTCCCCTCGCTCTCCTCCAATCCACCTCCTCCTCCTCTGCCTATTCCTCCCAGACGTTGACCGCGAAGTCCTGGCGCTGCGTCGCGAGGAGGAGCGGCTGATCCGCGACATCAAGGCGGCTGCGCGCGCCGGCAACACACCCGCCACCCGCGTGCTGGCCAAGAGCCTGGTGCGGCTGCGCGGGCAGATCGCGCAGCTGCAGGGCAGTGCTGCGCACCTGCGGGGGGTGGGCATGCAGATGACGGTAGGAGGGGGGTGGGCATGCAGATGACGGTAGGAGGGGGGTGGGCATGCAGATGACGGTAGGAGGGGGGTGGGCATGCAGATGACGGTAGGAGGGGGGTGGGCATGCAGATGACGGTAGGAGGGGGGTGGGCATGCAGATGACGGTAGGAGGGGGGTGGGCATGCAGATGACGGTAGGAGGGGGGTGGGCATGCAGATGACGGTAGGAGGGGGGTGGGCATGCAGATGACGGTAGGAGGGGGGTGGGCATGCAGATGACGGTAGGAGGGGGGTGGGCATGCAGATGACGGTAGGAGGGGGGTGGGCATGCAGATGACGGTAGGAGGGGGGTGGGCATGCAGATGACGGTAGGAGGGGGGTGGGCATGCAGATGACGGTAGGAGGGGGGTGGGCATGCAGATGACGGTAGGAGGGGGGTGGGCATGCAGATGACGGTAGGAGGGGGGTGGGCATGCAGATGACGGTAGGAGGGGGGTGGGCATGCAGATGACGGTAGGAGGGGGGTGGGCATGCAGATGACGGTAGGAGGGGGGTGGGCATGCAGATGACGGTAGGAGGGGGGTGGGCATGCAGATGACGGTAGGAGGGGGGTGGGCATGCAGATGACGGTAGGAGGGGGGTGGGCATGCAGATGACGGTAGGAGGGGGGTGGGCATGCAGATGACGGTAGGAGGGCATGCAGATGACGGTAGGAGGGGGGTGGGGGGAGGTGGGAGGGAGTTAGGGGAGGAGGGGGGAAGGGGCTGGGGCAGGGGGTGCAGGGTAATGGCTGAGGAGAATGAGAATTAGCCCGGAGTTGAGGAGTTAGGGCATGGGGTTGGTGGCTTTGGGGGAAGTACCGGTAAGGGGGCGTGGGGGAAGAGCTGGCGGTTGCGGGGAGCTTGGGAAGCGCAAGCAAAGGGTGTTCTGTGGCATCAGCCCTTCGCTGGGGCTTCTTTCCCCGGCAGACCCTCTTTCCACCCTTCCTCTTCCTCCTTCCGCCCTCCGCTCTCACTAACCCCTCCGTCATCCCGCTCCCTTACCCCCGCCCCACACCCTGCCCCTCTCCCCCTGCCCAACAAGCTTGCCAAAAAGCAGTCCTATAATCCAGCCTAGTGCGGAATACGTATCCCTATTGATTCCCCTGTCCCCCCCCCCAGACTGCCGCCGCCACCACTACAGTAGCCCGGGCGGTTGGGACCGCCACCAAGACCATGACTGCCATGCAGGTGGGTGGAGGATGGGGAGGAGGGGGAGGGGGGGGGGTTTGGGGGAAAGGGAGTGAGGACGGCCTTGGCACGTCGAGGGAGGGTTTGGAGGGCTGGGTTGGAGTGGGCTGTAAGGCTGTAAAGCGGCTTGGGGTCCTCGGAGCTCTAGGAGGGCTGGTTGGTCGCGACTGACACACGCACACACGCACATGGGGTGACTGGCTGCGGTCATGGCCTCTCTCACAACCTTCCTACTTTCCCCTCCCTTCCCTCCTCGCTCATCACGCCACCCTCTCCTCCTTCCCTCTTCCCGGCACACCTCCCCTCTCCTTATTCCTCCCCCCCTCCTATCACACCACACTTTGGAATTTCTTTTTCCCCCCCTCCAGGCCGCGCTGGACCCTGCCCGTGTGGGTGCCAACATGGCGGCCTTCTCGCGCGAGACCCAGCGGCTGGACATGGCTTCGGAGCTGATCGGGGAGGCGGTGGAGGGGGCGCTTGGCGGGGAGGGGGAGGAGGAAGAGAGTGCGGAGCTGGTTGGGCAGGTGCTGGACGAGATTGGGGTGGACCTGGCGGCTGGAATGAAGGTGAGGAGGGAGGGGGGGAGAGGAGGGGAATACACAATGGGTTGAATAGAAGGAGGGGGGAGGAGGTGAGAGGGGGAAGGATAGAGAGGAGATGAAGAAGAAGAGCGGGGAAGAAAAAGAGCAACCGTCATGAAGCTCCCTGTGTTGCCGCCCCTCCCGGCAACCACCACCCAGCACTCCTCCATCGCCTGCCTCTGCGAGGATCCAGCCTGTCCCCTTCAGCCTTGAATCCTCTCATGTCGCACCTTGCTTGGGTCGCTTCCCTCCCGCCTGTTGCTGGCCTCTCTTCACTCTCCCTTTCCCCCTTGCCCCATCGGGGGTCGCTTGCTCCGCACCTGCCCTCCCCTTGGTCGCTGCCACTGTCGCTGTCAGGTTGGTCCTACTTTCCCTCCGCTCCCCTCCCCGCCCTTCGTCACTTTCCTCGTTAGTTTACTCATATTTACACCACATCCCCACCCCTCCCCACCCCTCCCCACCCCTCCCCACCCCTCCCCACCCCTCCCCACCCCTCATCCGCAGTCCGCCCCCCGTCAACGCCAGGCAGCTCGCGCCCCCGCTGCCCCCGCTGCCGCTGAGGAGGAGGGGGACATGGACGATGATCTTGTAGCTCGCCTGGCCAACCTGAAGAGCTGAGGAGGGGTGGGGCTGAGGGGCGGGGTGGGCTGGAATGAGGATGGGGATTGAGGTGGATGTTAAAGACGTGGGAGGAGCGGAGGGCTCAACGGGGGTTTCGCTAGTAGGAGCGAGCTGGAGCAGGAGGTGAGAGAGCTGTGAGCGGGAAGGGGGGAGTAGGAGGCGGGGGAAAGGTGTATGCGGGTGTTGGGTTCGCGGGAGTCACCGGGCTGTTCCGGCCTTCTTTTGGCGAGAGCATTTCCTGGACTGAGGGAGCATTACGGGAGAGAGGGTGTTGTGGGAGGGCCGCCCTACGAGAAGGGTTGCAGGAAATTAGCAAACACCAATTTGTGCTGCCTTTTTGTGTGCGGCTTAGGTGAAGTGATGCTGGCTGTGAGAGTTGTGTGCTGGTTCGAGAGGTAACCACGCAGTTACTTCTGATGTACAGTAGGTGCGCAGGATGCCCCGATGCGGATATGCGTCCATACTGGACCGTGCGTAGTTGCATCATAGACGATCTCATGTACCTTTTGAAGACATTTCCGAGACGACATTCCTGAAACTAGAGAGGGCAGGTCCTGGGCTTGCGATTAGGAGAAGGCTCGAGCTGTGTGGTTTGACGGTACGACGTACTCGCTGCTAGGCGATAGCCAACACTGTGCCATGCAGGTGGGGAAGGCGCTATCGTTAGTGTTGCCAGCGCTAGACTGTTGTGTTTGGATCAGCCCTCGTTGGCACCCATCCGGCGGTCGGGGTACTCCATAGCGGCAGGATAGCTGCGGAAACACGCGACGACGGACTGTACATACAGCCTATGTTTCTTGCTTCGGTTATCATTTGTTTGGGTATTTGGTTTGCTTCATGCACTTGTCAGTTGAAGAGTGGAACTTTGTTTACTGGTGCTGTAAGCAACGTTTGGACCCTCAATACTTTAATGGATTGACCTAATATACAAAGTGTATGCTGTTTTCGTCATATACGTGCCTTATGCAATGGAGACGGTTCCTCTCCCAACCGTCGATACGAAGGGTAGAGACGGAGCTGCGTGTGACTGTTTGTACAGGCTTGCCACATACTAGCGACATAATTGTAATTTCTGCGTCATACGGCACAACCATTGTATATTAGTTCTTTAGATTAGTACTCCTTAACCGTTCGGAGGCCGCACGTCTTCTCAGTATTTTTCGGTGCCAAACATCCCCTAATGACTCTATACAATCTGTGACTAAGACGTAACAAACAACCACGCAAAAAGGATGACAACTTCACCGCGACCAGGCTCACTGAACCGCGTGCGATTTCCAGACGACGACAAAGGAGATGAGCCACTCGGACACACGAATCCACTTTTCAATAAGCCCAAAACCAGTGAGGCTGTCTGTATTAGCATAACAGCGGCGCAGCTACAACAAGAACGCAACAACCACAAGGCTGCTGAAGATGCTGATGCCCCATCGACATCGCCACGGACCAGCGAAGATGCTGCAACCTCTAGGAAGATGGGCATGCTTAAATACAGCACCAGCCTCTCCGTAGGCAGGTCCGGCAAGGCAACTCGCAAGCACGCTAAGGACGTCATTGCGCAACACAAAAAGAAACTCGAGAAAGTTGAGGACAACGAGCCTTCCGACCGCGAAGCTTCCTGTGCTGCATGGGTGAGCAAAAGGGAGCGACCCACTCCATGACGGGACATGCATCCAAACCCGAATCCCCCCTACGCTAACCTAACTGTTCTGTCCCAACTTCCATGCTTCTTGCCTCAGCTACAGCGTACGCATTCCTGTGACTCACCTGCTATAACACACCCCTTTACCGCCTGTATGTTGTCCCTCCCTCCCTCCCTGCCGCCCGCCCTCCCCCTCCGCAGTTCTCCGCCCGCCCTGCCCTGTCCTGGACGCTGGTGGTGCTGCTGGGCGCCTGTCTGGCCACCGCCGTCATCGTACCCGCCGTCTGCCTCACCGCGGGCTGCAGAGCGGGGGGCGGCGGAGGGGAGGTGAGCGGCGGACACCGGGACATACCGGCACACGTAGCGCTGCAGCTTACACCGGGTAGTCTGTTACTCGCACTGATGGAGGGCAGGAATACCGTAGCAATACCGGTTCCCATCGAGGCTCATCGAGGTCTCACATCTGCCCATGTCCCTCCCATCCTCGGCCTCGAATAAAGCCAAGTGCCCAGACCAGGCCCAGAGCACTTCTTTTTGTCCTCCCTCACCTATCATGCCCGCTCTGATTCCCTCCTGTCCTCCTCGCCTCTTCCCGCTTCCTTTCCCCCCTCCCTCCCCCTCCCCTCCCCCCAGGACGACCTGCTCTCGCTGCGCATCCTGGTTCGCTTCTCCGACCTGCAGCTCTCCACCTCCGGCCTGCTGCCGCTGCTGGCGCGCTACTTCAACACCACCCGCCTGGCCTCCAGCGGGGTGGAGGTGCTGGACTTTGAGAGCGGCGAGATGCTGCAGGAGGTGAAGAAGCTGCTGGGCAGCACGTATGCGGGTGAGGGGAGGGAGGGGAGGGGAGGAGCAGGGAGGGAGCAGGGAGGTTAGGGTTGGATGGGAAGGTTACCCAAGGGTAAGGGACCCAAGAGGAAGGCGCTTGCCGTTACGGTTGGCGGCTATGAGTTGACGGCTAAGCTCGAAGACAGGATCCCCTAACTCCCGTCACTTCCCTCCCGGCAGCCCTCTGCCCCTCCCTCCCTCCCATTCGCACATGGGATGCACCCCTACCCACCCTTACCACCCCTACCCACACCCACACCCGCACCCTGTACCCCCCAGACAAGCTGGACCTGCTGCTCAATGACTTTCGCATGGCTGGCTGGCCGCAACTCGACGACCTTGCTGACACCGTACCCAACCGCAACACAACCACCACAACCGCCACCTCACCACCCCCGCCGTACGGCAACTCAAGCAGTAGCAGCAGTACGACAGGCAACGGCCGGCGGCGGTCGACCCAAAGCAGTAGCGGTAGCAGCAGCGATCCGCTTCAGTCCGCTCAGTGGCACCTGGAGACGATTCGTGCGGCTGAGGCGTGGGCGACCAGCAAGGGGCTGGCGAGTGTTGTGGTTGCTGTGATTGACACGGGGGTGGCGTTGGACCACCCCGACCTGCGGGGCAGCCTGTGGGTGAACCCGGGGGAAATACCCGGCAACGGAATCGACGATGATGGAAACGGTGAGGGGATCGCACAGGGTTGGGTATCCGCAATAGGCTGGTACGTTTTGAGGGGAGGGTTGTGGAGGGGGGCTGTGGAGGGATAGATGAGGGTGATGTGCGGCTCTTGCTTCATTACAACCACCCTGCATGTCCTAGCTACCGCCAATGTCATATCCATCAGCCCCACAACCCCATCGCGCTAACCAGGGCACCTGACGTCTCCTGTAACACGCCTCCCTCACGCGTAACTCTACACCATCCATTTCCTGTTCGACTTCCCCACCCACCCGGTCAACCCTACACGCATTATACACACATCCCCCCACATTCCCCCCAGGATACATCGATGACGTGTACGGATACGACTTCGCCGGCAGCTGCACCGGTGACTGGCGTGCCTCAGTGTCCCCTCCGCCCTCGCCGCCCTCACCCCGCCCCCCCTCCACACCTCGCCCGCCCTCGCCACCACCTCCCTCTCCGCCCCGCCCGCCCTCGCCCCCGCCACCTAAGAAGAAATCGCCACCACCTCCCAACCTTACGGGCCGGCGCCGACAATTACTGCAGGATACCTCTTCCTCGTCATCTTCCTCCTCCTCTGCAGACTCCTCTTCTTCTTCTTCCTCTTCCACTACCACTACCTCCCAGCTCTTAGCTGAGCAAGACGCTGTGCTAGCCATGTCATCAGCTAGTGAAGCCGCCGCCGCCAGCAGCAGTGCATATGGGGCCATGAGCACGGCTGCGACGGCGATGGCTGCCACGACCAAGAAGAATAAAACAACCACCACAACCACCACCACTACAACCACAACCACAACGGTGCAGCCCCGGTGAGCCCAACCCCATCTAACGCCGCCACAAAGCCGCTTCCCCGTGACGAGAGCAACCGTGAAGGGCTAAGGGGATGCCTGAGGGAGAAGAAGACACAGGGAGGAAGATGAAAGCGAGGAACGGCAAGGGCGGCGTTTCACTGCCCTGCAAATCCAGCAGTTACGGTAGATTCCCCCGCCCCATACGCCGCTGCACTCTGCCCTCAAACGCCTCTCCAACCCCTCCCCACCCAACAGGTGCTCTGGTGACCCCGACCCGCGCCCCGACTCCACGGAACAGGGTCACGGCACCCACGTGGCGGGTCTGGTGGCGGCAGTGCAGGGCAACGGAGTGGGGGGTGCGGGGGTGGCGCCGAGAGTCAAGATCATGGCACTCAAGGTGAAGGGCAGGAGGCGGTAAAGGGGAGGGGATGGGCGGTGTGGAGCGGGGCTGCAAACTGCGTGGGAGAACTTTGGCTCGAAAGAATGAGACGCAAGGGGTTTTGAAGAGTACAGAGTATGGCGTGCAGTAGGGTTTAGTCGACACTCCGGTGCTCTCCGCGCCGCCTTTTCCGCTCTTCCTTCTTCTTTCTCATGTGGGGCCTGTAGTTGTCCGTATGTGCCATCATGCTTCTTTTGCCAGGAATGAACTATTTCACCTCTTATGACTCTTGTGTAATTCAAGCAGTACAGGACCGCTTAACTGTAACTGTAAACATCTTGTGTGTTTTTGCAGGTTTCTGATCCGTACGGCAATTTCTGGACGAGCAACATCATGGCCGCATTTGACTACGCGCTCCACATGGGCGCGCACGTTGTCAGTTGCAGCTTCGGACCCTACCAACCGAACACCAACCCAACCGCCAACGACCTCGCGCAATCGGTTGCGGAAACCAAACTGTACGAGCGAGCCGTACAACCGCTGCTGGAGAAGGGAGTGCTGGTGGTGGCAGCGGCGGGTGAGCTGGGGTTGTTGAGTGAGGGTGTGTGGTTGATGGTTCGTTGCAGACTTCAAACATACGACTACCGACGCCAGGGGATACTATGTGTCCACCCTCTGTCCTTGCATCCGTTCCCACCCTGCTCTCGCCCTTCTGTCGCACCTTCTCACCCTCCTCCTCGCCCAACAATTCCTTACCCATGTGCTCTTCTTTCGCTCCTTCCGCACCCTATCTAACACCATCAAGCTTAACACCTCCTCAGGACCCCACTACCTCTTCCTACTTTTGCTATTCGCTCATCTGTTTTGGCTCCTCATTCTGGCCCACCCACCCACCTATCCACCCACCCCCCAGGCAACGAGGACACCAACCTGGATGCCGTACGCGCTGCCGGCATGTCGTACCTGCCGTGCACCCTGCAGCTGCCCAACGTGCTGTGTGTGGCAGCATCGGCCTCGGATGGCAACATATGGCGGGAGGTGGGGTGGGCGGGGGGGTGGGGCGGGAGGAGGGAAAGACAGGGGGGGGGGTGGGACGGATCAAGCGGTGTAGGCTGCGGTGCAGTGGTGGTTTCCGCGCATTGGTGCCGTACTGCGCTGCATGGGAACCTTTATCATAAGAACTCAGGAGGCAAGCAAGCGGAAGAAGGGGAGGCCCGTGGAGGTTTGTCAGAGGAGGCTGGGGGGAGGGGGGAATGCGGTGTCTACCGGGTTGCGAGGTGGTGCATGCATCGCCGCCAGACAGGCTGGTGCGGGTAGGTACCGTACGGCACCTCCCTGGCTCCCTGGCTCTCTCTTCCTCCCCACTCCAGCCCTCCCCCTCCCCGCACCTCCCTCCCCAACCCCCGCCCCCCAGGTCTCTGCCAACCAGTGGGTGGGCTCCAACACCGGCCCCACCTCCGTCCACATCGCGGCACCCGGCAGCCGAATCGTGAGCACACTGCCCGGGGGGGATGACGCAACAACCGGCGCGTACGGCATCAAGACAGGCAGCTCCATGGTACGGGGTTGGCGGGGTCGGGAGAGTGGCGTGTGCGTGTTTGGGATGAGGGGGGGTGGGCAGCGTTAGCGTAGTCGTCACACAGCCCTAAAACCCAAAACATTATGGTTACCCCGAACCGTGCCTTCCCGCAACAACAGCAACTGTTTCCCGCCTGCTTCCATCGCCCCCGCCCCTCCCAGGCCACCCCGCTGGTGTCAGGTGCCGCGGCACTGGTGCTGTCGGTGCTGGGGGCGCAAGACGGCAACTTCTTCCAGGTATGGGGGTGAGGGGGTAATGACGAAGGAAGCG